ATCAGAGCTGCGTTATAGTGATCCTCGTTATAGGTAGCTATGGCGGGGAACACCTCGGCGGTAGCTGGTGAATCTTCAGCCCAAGATCGTAGCGGCAGCCATGATTCTTGTGTTTCTGCGCCAAGGGGAGCGCGAACAAGCCAGGGCTCGCTGATCAAGGAGGTGCTGAAAAACTTCACCGTCGAGAAGTTCAATGGTGAGGGCTATGATGATTAGGTCTGGAAAATGCAACTTTATTTCCGTCAGATCGGATTGCTGAAACTAATGATTGGGGAGGAGCCTAGACCGAGTGACCCCGCCTTTCAGGAAGATTGGGACGAGCGCGCCTCGGCTGGCTACTACTTGATGTCGCAGAGTTTGGAGCTGAACCAGCGTCACCACGTCATGCACCTGCTGCCGGAGGTTGAGTGCGGTCCGAAGGCGTGGACCGTGTTGAAGGAGCTGCACGCCCCTACCTCCGTCGCTGCGACGCTCATGATGGAGAGGGAGCTGTCCGCGTTGCGCCTAAGCGAGGGAGAGCCGGTACAACCCATCCTGGACAAGATGCGTGATCTCTACGCGAAGCTGGCGATCGCGGGAATCACCTACCCGAAGCAGACCAAGTGCCTGAAGATGCTCTCGCTGCTGCCCGAATCGTGGCTTCAATTCACGAGCGGATTGAGCCTGCCGCAAAACCAGAGCTTGTGGACGCTCGAGTGGGTGCGGACGAAGATTCTGGAGGAGGACTTCCGTCGCCGCCAACTGAGGGGTGGAGACGACGGCAGCAGCGGCTACGGGATGCAAGGGAGCCGACGTGGCAAAGGACGTGGCTTCGGTGGTGCTGGACGCGGTGCAAAGAAAGACGACGACTCCAACGACCAACAAGGAGGTACCGGTTGGGGTCGCGGTGCGAAATCTGGACGTGGGGGCAAGTCGGGTGCTGGTGGCAAAATGAAAGGGAGTTGCTGGTATTGTAAGAAGGAAGGGCACCCCTGGTTTTTGTGCTATAAGAAACCCGATGGATGGACCCCCCAGAATCGTCACCAGCATGGCGGCGCGCGGAGGAACCAGAAAAACGGCGCCAACATGGTCGCTGATTCGTCCGACAACAACCCGAAGGGCAACGGTGGTGCGGAAAAGAAGAAGGAGCGCACCGCGGGCCAATTCTTCCATGTGGGAGACAAGGGGGAGCAAGGAGACGCATCTGCTAAGGCTGGAGCAGAGCTGCACCCCCTGGACTATTGGGTGTTGGACACAGGCGCTGCATGGACAATGACGCCGCGCAAGGACCTGCTGGACGATGTACGCGCTGCACCGATTAATGAGGTGTGCTCTGCCTCTGGACACATGTTGAAGGTGGCTGGTGCGGGACGAGCTGCGTTTAAGGGAGCGGATGGCAAGCCGGTGGTGCTGCACGATGTTCTCCTCGTCCCCGACCTGAAGGCCAACCTTATCTCCCTCCGTAAGCTTGGCAAGGCTGGGGTGAACACCAACACGGATGGGGCTCGCACTTATAAAGGGAAGCTGGGCAATCGGGTGCTTTGGGATCTGCTGAGAGCAAGGGATGGCTGCTGTGGGAGCCTTCGAAGGGTGTGTTGTTTGACAGCAGGGAAGTGAAGTTTGTTGAGGGCATGATGTATGGGAGCTGGGAGAAACAGCCGGAGGCCAGGGTGTCCCAGCAGATGGAGCAGATCACCATGCAGCTGGACCTGACTCCTAGTGTGTGGGAGGAGGGAGAGGAGGCAGCTGCAGAGGGTGGTGATGGAAAGAAGGTGCAGGAGGCACCTGCTGGTGGAGGTGATGGTGTGGAGACTAGCGGTAGCACTAGTGGAGCTGCTGGATCCGAGGGAGGAGAGCAGCAGCAGGGAAAAACTAAGAAGCCGAAGGGTGTGGTTATGAAGGGATGGGAGACACCCGTCTCCAGGCGAGGACGTACCCGTATGGCTACTAAGACGCTGACTGCAGGAGCTGATGTAGCGGAGCAGCAGCTTGGGACCGAGGAGGCATTGCTGATTCTACCGCATGGCTATGATCCGGATGAGGAGGATGAACCTGCCTACTGTTTTCTTGCCCCTGCACCAGAGGAACCAGCTAGCATGGAGGAGGCATTAGCTGGACCAGATAGGGACAAATGGCTAGCTTCTAGGGATGCTGGAGAATGGGACTTGGGAACTAGTAGTGCTGCCTGAGGGGAAGAAAGCCGTACAGTGCAAGTGGGTGCTAAGGATCAAGACCGATGACAAGGGACAGGTCACCATCTACAAGAGTAGGTTGGTGGCTAAGGGGTTTATGCAGAAGGAGAAGCGGGACTTCAATGAGATCTTTGCTCCCACTGCCAAACCCCCTACCCTCCGTGTCTTGTTGGCAGATGCAACCGTTAGTGGGAAATTCATCATTCAGATAGATATATCAACGGCATTCCTCAATGGGATTTTAGAGGAGGATGTCTACATGACGCAGCCACCTGGGTATGAGGATGGTACGAGCAGGGTGTGCAAGCTGAAAAAGTCCATCTACGGCTTGAAGCAGGCGCCACGCTGCTGGTACCAGAAGTTGGCAGCTGTTTTAGAGGAGATGGGATTCAGGACCAGCAGCTGTGATGAGAGCCTCTTTTTCAAGGGGGAGGGGGAGAAGCTGGTGCTGTTTCTGGTCTATGTGGACGACATTCTTCTCTTTAGCAGCAGCATGAAGGAGATCCAGAAGGTGCAGCAGCAGCTGATGGAGAACTTCAAGTGCAAGAACCTTGGGGAGGTAAAGTACTACCTCGGGATGCACGTGGAGAGGGATCTGGATCACAGGTGGTTGAAGCTGCACCAGGAGAAGTTCATCAAGGAGCTTGGGGAGAAGTACGGGATTGAGAATGAGCGCAAGGTTGCAACTCCCCTGCCAGCAGAATTCAAGCTTGTGAAAGCTGCAGAGGATGAAGGGGTTGAAGCCGACGAGCAGCAGCAATTTCAGTCCTTGGTGGGCAGCCTCTTGTATGCAGCAGTTCACACGAGGCCCGACATCTCTTTCTCGGTTGGGCAGCTGGCTAGGGTGGTGCAGAATCCATCAGAGGAGCAGGTGGATGCAGCTGAGCGTGTGGTGAAGTATCTAAACTCTCACCCAAGCGTTGGAGTTCAATACTCCGCATCTGCACAGGTGAAGCAGAAAGGGGTTGAGGTGCTGAAAGAGAAGGGGGAGAGGCTTGGAGAAGGCAAGCTTTTCCTCACTTGCTTTATCGATGCTACGTGGGCCTCTGAGAAGGAAGATTCCTCATCTGTGGGAGGATACATCTGCGTAGTTGGGGGAGGACCGGTTAGTTGGAGGTCAAAGAAGCAGACGGAGACAGCACTCTCGTCCGTGGATTCAGAGTACATGGCAATGTTTCATGGGGTGAAGGAGGTAATTTGGCTGAGGAGGCTGTTAGAGGAGATTGGCCAGGAGCAAAAGGTTGTTACGCCGCTGTTTTGTGATAGCAAGGGAGCTCTTGGGATGGCCAAAAACGCTGTGCCTCATGGGCTCAATAAGCACATGCGTATCAAGTGGCACTGGCTGCGTAAGGAGGTGAAGAGGGGGACGGTGAATCCGATCTACATCAAGACTCACCAGCAGCCAGCAGACTTCCTCACCAAGAGGCTTGCGGATGAGCCTCATTGGCGTTGTGTGCGCATGAGTGGAATGAGCATGAACTAGTATGGAATGATGGGGATGCAGCCGGCAGGCTGAGGGGGAGTGTGTTGGGTGCAAATTCACATTGCACGACATCCTGCCGTCTGTTTGTACGAGTATGCGTGTGCGAATGCATTTGCGTGTGAATGGTATGTTCGTGTGTTTGTTTGCTTTCGCAATTTTCGCTTGAAGCATTTGCAGGTACTCGCACAATGTGCGCTTCGGCATAACATTGTACGCGCTATGAACAGTACAAGCAGAAAGGACGAGCTCGCAAAGGAACCCAAGATGGAAGCTTTGCGGTTCGGCTTACTTGATTGCGCAGATTCAGTTCTATCCAACTCGAAATTGTACTGTTTTGTTTGGTTGACTATAGTGTAGCAGGGCAGGCACTATAGGGGTACAATTTAGGTGAAGGTTGGATGTTGTTTGTCTGTATCTGCATGCTACAGGGCCAGGGGAAACCAGCGGAACCAGCATTTGGCTGGTTGGGCAAAGACAAAACAGGTTCTGTTTTTAGGACCTGAACCTGGTTGTTGTTTTCCCAGGTTGGAAAAACAGAACCAGAGGTTGTTCACCAACCTACCACCTGCTATTTTGTCCAGCCAGGTTGGTTCTGTTGCTTGGAATTATTTGGGATCATCCCTGGTTGTTCCCAGGTTGATTCCCAAGGTCCTTGCTAGCTAGAGCTATTTATTCCTTCTCTGTTTGTACCTGAACATAGTAAAATTGATTCAAGCGAATTCCTCCCTTCCTAGAATTTCGTTTCTACGCGGTGCGACGGCGGAATGCTACGCGAGTCAACGCTAGTACGCTAGCACTCCAACGCTAGGCTAACGCTGTCCGAGCCATAACTTCGTAATGGCAGAACTTTTCGCGAGGCAACTTAGCTTATTTTAAAGCTCTTAGAGTGAGCTTCGATATAGTATATTCTCAGCTTAATCCGATCTACGGTCTGCACGATACGCTGCGCGACGTTCAAGGTACTCTTGTTGTTTTGACTAAGTCCCTCTTGATCCCTCTCTCTACAAACTCGGACCCGAGGATAGGGGCTGGTCTTGTACCAGGCACCCAAGGACCCTTGGAGGTGACCCCGAGGAGAGGTTTTAAGTTTGATAAAGTCTTAATAGCTTGAGTTTATTAGGCCCTTACACGAATAAAGCAGACATCTAAGGCTAACTGCTGTCCAAGTTTCAGGCTCATGTGTTATCGGAGCTGATCGTGACGGCGTTTTGAACAGAGGCGGTTTGAAGACGTCAGATTCTGCTTAGGCGGTTTCATGGGCATCCGCGACCTCTAAGTGGACTCTTGACTAAAACACTGAGGAGGCGCAGTAGTCAGTGTGTACAGACTCGACCTAGGCGGACGTGTTATTGAGGCCAGGTGGCTACCGGTCCGAGAGCACGTACAGAACGCCACACGCTGCCATCCAAGGGTGAAGATGTCAACCCCCGCATCCTTGAGGGTAGCTGTGCTCACCAAGTTCGTAGAGAACGGGGGGAGGAGGAGACCTGACAATGACCAAGACGGAACCGCCGGACAGGGCAGAACATTGGAGGAACGTGCAAGGACTGGGCCCCCAGAGGGGTCAGCCAACGACACAGCAACAGGTGCAGTGAGCGGTGTGACTGTGGTACTGTTGCGAAAGAGACAGCAGGAAGCACCTGAGTCAAGTGTGAAGGTGTGTAGGGCCGCAGCAGACGCAGTACCAAAGAGAGCAGACTCACCAGCACCTAGGGCAGCAGACTCACTAGCACCTAGAGCAGCAGCCTCTATACCTGGGTCTGGCGGCAGACACAGGTAACAATCACCCTCATCACCAATAGTCAATGCATACATGGCAGATAGGATAGCATCAAAGTCTAGAGCAAAGATATCAACATTCTGCCTAAGCAGCGCCGCCCAGTCGGGAAGCTTAGGTGCATAAGGAAACTCTGCGCGAAAGGCGTCGGTAAGGCGGTTGAAGCAGCGGTGCTGAGTGTGAGACCACTCGTATGTTTGACCTGTGCGAATAACATACGGGCAGGGACCACTACCCCCAGTCCTCCCACGCTGAGCAAACCACTCACGGAGCTCCTGGGACGAAAGGGGCTGACGTTGCTGCTGCTGCTGGCCACCTCCAAGGCCTCCCCTCTGGCTGGTGCCACCCCTGCCACCCCCACTGCTGCCGCCTCCACCCCCACCGCTGCCGCCTCCACCCCCACTGCCGCCACTACCGCCGCCACCACCACTACCTCCACCACTCCCACTGCCGCCACTACCGCCGCCACCTGCCCCGCCGCCCCCACCACCACTTCCTCCTCCACCGCCGCCCCCACCAACGCCTCCACCGCCCCCACCACCGCCTCCACATTTGCCACCCCCACCGCTCCTGCCCTTCCAGCCCCTGCCGCTGCGGCGCCTCCCACTACTGGCAGACGCAGCTCCAACCTCCTCAGCACGAAGGTAGTCAACAGCTGCAGCAGAGGCGACTGAGGGGAGAAGGGGGGAGGGCGAACACCCCTCAAAGAAGGGGGTGCGAGGAGTGCCACGAGAAGCGCCTACAGCAACTATGCTAGTCCCAGCTGTTAGGAGGTGCTTCTTGAGCAGGTCGACATGTTGGTGTAAGGGCCTAATAAACTCAAGCTATTAAGACTTTATCAAACTTAAAACCTCTCCTCGGGGTCACCTCCAAGGGTCCTTGGGTGCCTGGTACAAGACCAGCCCCTATCTTCGGGTCCGAGTTTGTAGAGAGAGGGATCAAGAGGGACTTAGTCAAAACAGCAAGAGTACCTTGAACGTTGCGCAGCGTATTGTGCAGACCGTTGATCGGATTAAGCTGAGAATTTACTATATCGAAGCTCACTCTAAGAGCTTTAAAATAAGCCAAGTTGCCTCGCGAAAAGTTTTGCCATTACGAAGTTATGGCTCGGACAGCGTTTGCCTAGCGTTGGAGTGCTAGCGTACTAGCGTTGACTCGGGTAGCATTCCGCCGTTGCACCGCGTAGAAACGAAATTCCAGGAAGGGAGGAATTCGCTTGAATCAATTTCACTATATTCAGGTACAAACAGAGAAGGATTATATAGCTCTAGCTAGCAAGGACCTTGGGAATCAACCTGGGAACAACCAGGGATGATCCCAAATAATTCCAAGCAACAGAACCAACCTGGCTGGACAAAATAGCAGGTGGTAGGTTGGTGAACAACCTCTGGTTCTGTTTTTCCAACCTGGGAAAACAACAATCAGGTTCAGGTCCTAAAAACAGAACCTGTTTTGTCTTTGCCCAACCAGCCAAATGCTGGTTCCGCTGGTTTCCCCTGGCCCTGTAGCATGCAGATACAGACAAACAACATCCAACCTTCACCTAAATTGTACCCCTATAGTGCCTGCCCTGCTACATTATAGTCAACCAAACAAAACAGTACAATTTCGAGTTGGATAGAACTGAATCTGCGCAATCAAGTAAGTTGAACCGCAAAGCTTCCATCTTGGGTTCCTTTGCGAGCTCGTCCTTTCTGCTTGTTCTGTTCATAGCGCGTACAATGTTATGCCGAAGCGCACATTTTGCGAGTACCTGCAAATGCTTCAAGCGAAAATTGCGAAAGCAAACAAACACACAAACATACCATTCACACGCAAATGCATTCGCACACGCATACTCGTACAAACAGACGGCAGGATGTCGTGCAATGTGAATTTGCACCCAACACACTCCCCCTCAGCCTGCCGGCTGCATCCCCATCATTCCATACTAGTTCATGCTCATTCCACTCATGCGCACACAATGCCAATGAGGCTCATCCGCAAGCCTCTTGGTGAGGAAGTCTGCTGGCTGCTGGTGAGTCTTGATGTAGATCGGATTCACCGTCCCCCTCTTCACCTCCTTACGCAGCCAGTGCCACTTGATACGCATGTGCTTATTGAGCCCATGAAGCACAGCGTTCCTGGCCATCCCAAGAGCTCCCTTGCTATCACAAAACAGCGGCGTAGCAACCTTTTGCTCCTGGCCAATCTCCTCCAACAGCCTCCTCAGCCAAATCACCTCCTTCACCCCATGAAACATTGCCATGTACTCTGACTCCACGAAAGAGAGTGCTGTCTCGGTCTCCTTCTTTGACCTCCAACTAACCGGTCCTCCCCCAACTACGCAGATGTATCCTCCCACAGATGAGGAATCCTCCTTCTCAGAGGCCCACGTAGCATCGGTAAAGCAAGTGAGAAAAAGCTTGCCTTCTCCAAGCCTCTCCCCCTTCTCTTTCAGCACCTCAACCCCTTTCTGCTTCACCTGTGCAGATGCGGAGTATTGAACTCCAACGCTTGGGTGAGAGTTCAGATACTTCACCACACGCTCAGCTGCATCCACCTGCTCCTCTGATGGATTCTGCACCACCCTAGCAAGCTGCCCAACCGAGAAAGAGATGTCGGGCCTCGTGTGAACTGCTGCATACAAGAGGCTGCCCACCAAGGACTGAAATTGGTGCTGCTCCTCGGCTTCAACCCCTTCATCATCTGCAGCTTTCACAAGCTTGAATTCTGCTGGCAGGGGAGTTGCAACCTTGCGCTCATTCTCAATTCCGTACTTCTCCCCAAGCTCCTTGATGAACTTCTCCTGGTGCAGCTTCAACCACCTGTGATCCAGATCCCTCTCCACGTGCATCCCGAGGTAGTACTTTACCTCCCCAAGGTTCTTGCACTTGAAGTTCTCCATCAGCTGCTGCTGCACCTTCTGGATCTCCTTCATGCTGCTGCTAAAGAGAAGAATGTCGTCCACATAGACCAGAAACAGCACCAGCTTCTCCCCCTCCCCCTTGAGAAAGAGGCTCTCATCACAGCTGCTGGTCCTGAATCCCATCTCCTCTAAAACAGCTGCCAACTTCTGGTACCAGCAGCGTGGCGCCTGCTTCAAGCCATAGATGGACTTTTTCAGCTTGCACACCCTGCCCGTACCATCCTCATACCCAGGTGGCTGCGTCATGAACACCTCCTCCTCTAAAATCCCGTTGAGAAATGCCGTTGATATGTCCATCTGGATAATGAACTTCCCACTAACGGCTGCATCTGCCAACAAGACACGAAGGGTAGGGGGTTTGGCAGTGGGAGCAAAGATCTCATTGAAGTCCCGCTTCTCCTTCTGCATAAACCCCTTAGCCACCAACCTACTCTTGTAGATGGTGACCTGCCCCTTGTCGTCAGTCTTGATCCTTAGCACCCACTTGCATTGTACCGCTTTCTTTCCCTCAGGCAGCACCACTAGTTCCCAAGTCCCATTCCCCAGCAGGCTCTGGTACTCAGCATCCCTAGAAGCTAGCCATTTGTCCCTATCTGGTCCAGCTAATGCCTCCTCCATGCTAGCTGGTTCCTCTGGTGCAGGGGCAAGAAAACAGTACGCAGGTTCATCCTCCTCATCCGGGTCATAGCCATGCGGTAGAATCAGCAATGCCTCCTCAGTCCCAAGCTGCTGCTCCGCTACATCAACTCCTGCAGTCAGCTTCTTAGTAGCCATACGGGTACGTCCTGGCCTGGAGACGGGTGTCTCCCATCCCTTCATAACGACACCCTTCGGCTTCTTAGTTTTCCCCTGCTGCTGCTCTTTCCCCTCAGATCCAGCAGCTCCACTAGTGCCAGTCTCCACATCATTTTCTCCACCAGCAGGTGCCTCCTGTACCTTCTTTCTATCACCACCCTCTGCAGCTGCCTCCTCTCCCTCCTCCCACACACTAGGAGTCAGGTCCAGCTGCATGGTGATCTGCTCCATTTGCTGGGACACCCTGGCCTCCGGCTGTTTCTCCCAGCTCCCATACATCATGCCCTCAACAAACTTCACATCCCTGCTGTCAAACAACACACCCTTGGAAGGCTCCCATAGCAGCCATCCCTTGCTCTCAGCAGCCAGCCCCAAATGCACACACCAGATTGCACTCGCCCCCAACTTACTGCGGTAGGTCTTGGGGACGTGGGCGACTGCCATGCAACCGAACACCCTCAGCATGTCCACCGGCGGCTTCCTCCCAAGCCACCTCTCCAACGGCACCCACGAGTCATCCCCAACCTTTGTGAGTACCCTGTTTCTAGCGACGGTAGCGTGCCGAACAGCATGGGGCCACATCAAGTTGCCCAGCCCAGATTCTATGAGCAGCGCCCTAGCTGTCTCCAGAATTGTCCGGTTCGCCCGTTCTGCTACACCGTTGGACTGTGGGGTGTAAGCCGTGGTCAGCTCCCTCTGGATGCCCTGCTTCTTGAGCCAGGCCGTCATCTCAGCTCCAAGGAACTCGCCACCCCGATCTGTCCTAATCCGCTTCACGACACACTCCGCTTGCTTCTCCACGAACGGCAGCCAATCGTCCCGAATCGTGGAGGCGGCGTGATCTTTCTGCTTCAGTGGATACGCCCACATTAGCCTGCTCCAGTCATCCACTATGGTTAGGAAGTACTGCTCCCCCTTGTGCCCTTGCACCGGCAGCGGCCCCACCAAGTCCATGTGGACCAGCTCCAACGGCTTTTTGCTCCTGCCAGCCACACTATGGAAGGGGAAACGGGTGAACTTTGAAAGGAGGCAAATTTCACAGTTATCATCGGGTGGTTGTCCGTTCAGCTTCAAGCCCTTAACGGCTCCATCCTTCTCTAGCTGCTTCAACAAAGGCATTGCCACATGCCCCAAACGTCGGTGTGCAGTTGCCCAATCCGTCTCCCCAGATCTGGCCGACACTTTCACACCAACCCCTCCAACGGCGTTGCACTCCCCCTGGGATGCAGACCCCTCTCTAGCCTGACCCCCACCGTGCCACGCCAGCGCCGGCAGCTGCCACATAGATCTGTACACGTCCTTGCTCTCGTGCAGATCCCAAAGCACCCGATTGCCCAGCTTCCCCTTATAAGTGCGTGCCCCATCCGTGCTAGTGCTCACCCCAGACTTGCCAAGCTTACGGAGGGAGATGAGGTTGGCCTTGAGTTCAGGAACAAGAAGAACGTCGCGCAGCACCACCGGCTTGCCATCCGCTCCCTTCAACGCAGCTCGTCCCGCACCAGCCACCTTCAACATGTGTCCAGAGGCAGAGCACACCTCATTAATCGGTGCAGCGCGTACGTCGTCCAGCAGGTCCTTGCGCGGCGTCATTGTCCAAGCAGCGCCTGTGTCCAACACCCAATAATCCAAGGGGTGCAGCTCTGCTCCAACCTTAGCAGATGCGTCTCCTTGCTCCCCCTTGTCTCCCACATGGAAGAATTGGCCCGCGGTGCGCTCCTTCTTCTTCTCCGCACCGCTGTTGCCCTTCGAGTTGTTGTCGGACAAATCAGCGACCATGTTGGCGCCGTTTTTCTGGTTCCTCCGCGCGCCGCCATGCTGGTGACGATTCTGGGGGGTCCATCCATCGGGTTTCTTATAGCACAAAAACCAGGGGTGCCCTTCCTTCTCACAATACCAGCAACTCCCTTTCATTTTGCCACCAGCACCCGACTTGCCCCCACGTCCAGATTTCGCACCGCGACCCCAACCGGTACCTCCTTGTTGGTCGTTGGAGTCGTCGTCTTTCTTTGCACCGCGTCCAGCACTACCGAAGCCACGTCCTTTACCACGTCGGCTCCCTTGCATCCCGTAGCCGCTGCTGCCGTCGTCTCCACCCCTCAGTTGGCGGCGACGGAAGTCCTCCTCCAGAATCTTCGTCCGCACCCACTCGAGCGTCCACAAGCTCTGGTTGTGCGGCAGGCTCAATCCGCTCGTGAATTGAAGCCACGATTCCGGCAGCAGCAAGAGCATCTTCAGGCACTTGGTCTGCTCCGGGTAGGTGATTCCCGCGGTCACCAACTTCGCGTAGAGATCAAGCATCTTGTCCAGGATGGGTTGCACCGGCTCTCCCTCGCTTAGGCGCAACGCGGAAAGCTCCCTCTCCATCATGAGCGCCGCAGCGACGGAGGTAGGGGCGTGCAGCTCCTTCAACACCGTCCACGCCTTCGGACCGCACTCAACCTGCGGCAGCAGGTGCATGACGTGGTGACGCTGGTTCAGCTCCAAACTCTGCGACATCAAGTAGTAGCCAGCCGAGGCGCGCTCGTCCCAATCTTCCTGAAGGGCGGGGTCACTCGGTCTAGGCTCCTCCCCAATCATTAGTTTCAGCAATCCGATTTGACGGAAATAAAGTTGCATTTTCCAGGCCCAATCATCATAGCCCTCATCATTGAACTTCTCGACGGTGAAGTTTTTCAGCACCTCCTTGATCAGCGAGCCGTGGCTTGTTCGCGCTCCCCTTGGCGCAGAAACACCAGAATCATGGCTGCCGCTACGATCTTGGGCTGAAGATTCACCAGCTACCGCCGAGGTGTTGCCCGCCATAGCTACCTATAACGAGGATCACTATAACGCAGCTCTGATACCAGCTTGTTGGTGTAAGGGCCTAATAAACTCAAGCTATTAAGACTTTATCAAACTTAAAACCTCTCCTCGGGGTCACCTCCAAGGGTCCTTGGGTGCCTGGTACAAGACCAGCCCCTATCCTCGGGTCCGAGTTTGTAGAGAGAGGGATCAAGAGGGACTTAGTCAAAACAGCAAGAGTACCTTGAACGTTGCGCAGCGTATAGTGCAGGCCGTTGATCGGATTAAGCTGAGAAATTACTATATCGAAGCTCACTCTAAGAGCTTTAAAATAAGCCAAGTTGCCTCGCGA